AGAATGTCCTGGAGGTGAAAGGAGTGTCCGATTGAGTGAACAGGTTAAAGCTTATAACCGAGTGTCTTATGTTAAATGTTTTAAGTGCTCACACCCCAAAGGTATTATTGGAACGAGAAGAGAAATTGCAGTAGGAGACAGGAGTTCAGAGCATTGCAGGCAGTGAGAAAGAGCAATGATTTTAATGGACTTTGGTGAAAAAAAATGAAAAAACATTGGCAGGTTTGGTATTCAGGATAGGAACATCAGGATGTAGTTAGTAAAAAATCCCGGAAGAGGATGAAAAATGGAAATGTAGTTTGTCCTGATGACATACAGGCAGAGGTATGGAAGCGTCAGGGAGAGGTGGCTGACTATATTGAGTTTCTTCACCATAACCTGCTGTTGGTCACTTGTATCTACATCTAGGTTCTCCTCAAAGTCAAAAACTAAACAGTTGACTCCTTCTTGTGAGAGGCTCCAAGTCAGCACTTAGATCATGATGTGATGACACATTTCTTGTGAGAGGCTCCAAGTCAGCACTTAGATCATTGGGACCCTTTGCTGAAGAGGTGACATGATGTGATGACACAATCACATTTTAAAAATGTTTACGTGAGCAAAGAGATTCTCCCTGTTGGCATTTATTTTCCCTGCGCCTCCTCTTCATGGATATGCACAGCAGTGTACCGTCTTTCAGATAAGCTTTTTTTTTTTTAAGATATGTAATCAGCCATTGCAATTGCTAGTTTTGAGCTTACTGTTTTGTAGCAGCAATGCCGAATATGAACTGTGGCTTGCCCCCCCCCCCCGCAAAAAAAGCTCTCAAAATACCCCCAGTTACAAACTGTTGACTTTTATTTAGGTGGAAAGGGTCACAAAAGATCTCAAGAAGCCTTAATGTTCATCAGTCCATAGCAAGAAATATTGCTTAGAAATGGAGAAAGTTCAGCACCGTTGCTTCTCACCCAAGGGTTGGTCATTATTTTATAGATAACTGCAAGAGCACAGTGCAGAATGCTCAATGATCTTTAAAAATAAATAAATTCCTAGAGTGTCGGCTAAAAAAACTTGAAAAAAAATCTCTGTTGACAAATCTATTAAGGGATATAATTTAACAACACTACGGCGGAGAACCACTGTTGTCAAAACAATCATTTCTACATGTTGGAAAATTGCAAAAGAGCGCCTGTATAATCAACAATGTTATTGTCAAAATAGATTTGGATAAAATTAAATTATTTGAGAGGAGCATGTGATGCTAGTCTTGACCATTTCATCATGTTTGAAATCATGTTAGCCAATATGATGGTGCTTGGAGCATTGTCTTTTTTGAAGTGGCACGTGTAAAGAGTTTTAAGCTTGTGGGAAAAAAATTAACATTTTAGAGATATACAAGACTGTTTACAAGATTGCCAAACTATTATCAGATTCTCTCACAGGTATGACAAATTTGGTTGGCTTGTCTTTGTTTAATTAAGAAAAATGTAACGGCTAAACTGCTAGCTAAAGTCAGCGCTACAGCATGCTATCAATTTCAAAAGTGCACATCTGGGTATCTGGCACTTCATTAACACATTCCATCAGTGACTGTGTGATGCTTTGTCTGAATTTCCAATTCAGTCTGTTTACCAATTAAGAATTCCGATCCAGTCTGTTTACAAATTCAGTTGAAATATAAATTACAGCTGGCGTTCGGTCTCCCTACAAAGTAAAGTAGCTCTTCTTTTCGAAGGAAACATCACCGATTGAAATTACAGCAGACAATGCAGCTAAAATCATATATCCGTTTAACATAGGCGTCAACGTTTACCAAGACATTTTGCAGAAGAACTTCTACCGCCTGCTTGCTGACTGAAACTCAACAGATAGGTGATGCAACAGGACAATCACGAGAAGGACAGAAGTCAAGTGACAGCTTGAACAGAAAAAAATAAGACTTCTGGAGTGGCCCAGTCAAAGTCCTGACCTCAATCCAATTGAAGTTCAGTGGTATGCCCTCAACAGATTAATTACCACCCAACTTCCTAGAAACGGTCATTCATTCATTTTCCGATCCGGTTATCCTCACAAGGGTCGTGGGGGGGTGCTGGAGCCTATCCCAGCTGTCTTAGGGCAGTAGGGGGGGGGGCACCCCGAACCGGTTGCCAGACAATAGC